ATCACCTCTGTTTCCCTGAGTGCAGTCGGAAAAAAGTACGAAAACTAGGGGAAAATTTTCTCCTGACCCGCTCCTTTTCTGCGGGTTCCCGGGGTTTTTGATATAGCAAACCCCTGATTTTGCCAATGAAATTGGAAATCATCTGGTCCGTTTTTTCTCAGGGCTCCATCTATGCCCCATTTCTTTCCTCAAAGTCTCCCAGAGAGTTACCCCCGGGACTTTTCTTCTCTCGAGAAAACAGTATAAGGGCCTTTACACTTCAAGAACTGGAGGCAACCCTCGCTTGTCGATCATGGGGCAGTGGCCCGCGACTTTCATTTCTAGCAAAACTTTTACATCAGTCAGCCCTTGCAGTCCTTTTACGCCTTTAAAATCTTATTTGGCACAAGGAGTTCTTCCAAGCTGGGAAATCCGCCATTGTTCCCCCTTTTTCCGCAAACCAGGCACTACGGACATGAAAACCTCCCCTATCGTCCCATTGCTCTTACCATGCAGTTGCAAAGTAAGGGAAAGCCCCAGTAAATGACTTTTGTGGGGTATTTAGAAAACACACAACATCTCTCCACCGTCAAATGGCTTTCGTAAGGGACGTTCTACCAAGACCCCTTACTACGCTTTGGGTATTATTTCGAATACCTTTGCGAATAAACCCCTTATTATTCCATATTTTTTTGACCTTGAAAGGCATAGACACAACTTTTAGGGATAAATTTTTAGCCCAAGCCCACCCTAGGCCCTTTGAGGCATCTACCATCCTTTCCCTTAAGAACTTTTTTTCTGACGGCATTTCCGGTTCGGGTTAATGTGCTCTCCCCGGGCTTTTTCCAAGCTGAAGGTGTCCCCCGGGATGGGTTTCTGACAAACACTTTCTCCTTGCTATTAATGATTTGGCCCCTATCTTCCATCAAATATTTGGTCTCACTCTTTGATGACTTTGCTATTGCCTGTGCGGCGCTGATGTCACCCTTATTTCTCCCCCCCCGCGTCGACCCTGTTTCCAATTGGGGGACCCCACGGGGTTTAAAATTTTTCCCCACTAAAACCCCCCAAAACACTTTCATAGCGCTCTGTCATCTCCGATCACCTTTGTACCTCTATGGCTCCCCCTATCCCGAACGGATAGTCAAGTTTCTGGGCCCCCCCTTTTATCGTAGGGTTTTCCTGGAAACCTCCATTTCCCCCTCTGAAGGCAAATTGTCACGCCGGCTGAAACTTCTTAAAACCCTTGCTCACTTTTTGGGGGGGCTGATCGTCAACCCTCCTTCGCCTACATTCCACCCTTATTTTATCGAAACTTGATTATGGTGACCAGATCTATTCACCCGGCATCTCCTGCTACTCTCCTCTAGCCTTAGCCCCATTCATCACCAAGGATTACGTTTATGCTTGGTGCTTTCTGCTCTTCCCCTGTCGAGAGCCTCTATGCAGAAGCGAACGTTCCATCCTTATCCGATCGCCGTGATGCCCATTGCCTGCGCTACTATGTACGCTCTCATGATCTCCGCAACCCTTCCATTTATAGAATGGTCACTGATATTAGTAGACTTTTCTTTATTTGTTCGCCGCCCGGGTTTACTCCGTCCCTTCTCTCTTCGCCTTCATTCGCTCTTGTCCTTCTCTTCAACTACCCCACCTTTCTATGTAAAATGTAGCATCTCACTTTTCCCTACCCCCCTGGGAAGTTCCAGCTGTTCGAGTCTGTTTCTTTCTCCCTCCCTTGCTCGAGAGCCCAACTGTCTACGGTCGCTTCCCGCTCTCTTTTTCTTGACCACTTCACTCTCATTCTCTGCCTTTGGGCTGTGTACACAATGGCCTGTCTTCTGACGGCGTAGGAATTCGCAGCAGTGTTTCCGGACAGCGTCGTACAAGGGCATTTACTATCTTCGGCTAGTATTTTTAACTGCTAAAATTATATGCCATCCTTACAGAAAGTAATCCGTATTGCATCTATGCCTGTGTCATCATTTGTGGTTTTCAGACTCCCTTAGTGCTTTACAGGCTATACAAAAATTTGATACACCCACCCCTTAGTCCTCCGTATCCCCAAATTTGGGTACGCCGCATCTTTACCAAGCATAAAGATATTGTTTTTTTTTTGGGTCCCTGGTCATGTTGACATACAGGGCAATGAACAGGCAGACACCCGCTGCGCGGTCAGCAGTACAAAGACCCCACCAAATTTCTTTTAGAGGTATTCCATTTACGGACTATTTTGCTGCAATAAACTTCCCACCTTCACACCCTTGGGAACAACGTTGGTCTACTATGCTCGGCAACAAACTCAGTCTATTAAACCGAGTATAGGTTAACTGGCCGTCTTCTTATCACCAGTGCGAGTTGGGAGACTACTCTCTCCCGTCTTTGCATTGGCCATACTCGTCTTACTCATGGATATTCTCATGGAGAGGCTTTTGCTCCTCTGTGAAAAAATGCCAAGCTCCATTATCAGTCAGCCACATTCTGTTGGACTGCCCACTTTATCAACGAGCACGCAAAAATTTACCTCTGTCGTCGTCTTCGCTCGGCTGCTCTCTCTTTAACCTTTCCTTCTCGCTGATGGACCCCCCCTTTCATCCGACTCTCTCATTGACTTTTTGACAACGACTGACTGACTTCACAAATTCTGATACCTTCAGCCTTTCTACTTCAATCTCTTGCTACCTTCTACCCCCGTACTATCCCCTGCCCCGCTGTTTTCTGTAACCTGCTGATCATCCCCCCCTCCCTTCTGCCATCCAATTCCCTTGCTTCCTTCCCTACCCTGCAGCGCTGTATAGCCCTTGTGGCTTAGCACTTCTTTTTGATTATAATAATAAAGGCAGTGAAGCCGCAGCTAATGCGGCAAGGGCCTACATCAGCAACCTGCCAGAAGACAAGGCCGTAGTCAGTTTGGTTTAGAAATACCTTTAATGTGGTGAAAAGAGAAGTGGTCTTGACGGCCGTTCGGGATCGGTTCCCTAGCCTTTATTCCCTTCATTTCAGCTGGCTACACCAAACCCTCGGTTCTTTTGTTTGGTGAGCATAAAATTCCCTCGTCAGATGTGTTCAGCAGGGTGATCCACTTGTTCCACTTCTCTTCTGTTAAAAAACTCAAGGTAAAACGGTTGGTGGGAGTGAGTAGTCAGGAATCACTGCAGGGGATGGCAGTGTATCCCACATGATTGGAGAGTGAAATGGGTGGAGTTTAGTAAATTAAGAATACAGGCAAGAGTGAGGGAATTAGTATATAGATTTCTTATGGGGACGTTGGCATCGAAAGAGGTGCTAAGACTAATGGGTTTTGTGAGGAGTCATGCGGTTTTTGTGGGGAAGTTGAAACTGCTTTCCATGTAGTATATTTTTGTTCTGCTTTGGTTGAAGAGGGTTTTCCTTTTATTGGGGGGGTCAGATATCACCCCTTAGGGCTTTAATGTTAGATACTGGAGGGGTGCCCAACGAGGTGGGGAGGGCTATCAGATACGTAATAGTTGATTACTTGTATGTCTCTTGGGGGATGAGGGAGGTGGAGGGAAATATTAGGATAAAAGCGTTGGCGGCATGTTTTTATAGGACAGCGTGTAGGAACAAACAATTACATGGGGGACGGTGGGCAACTAGTTTTCCGGAGGGACATCGTGGACTTATTGTAGAACGTTTACTCCGCTTGGTGACGGGGTGAGGAGGCAAGGGGTTGGTCTCTTCAGTGGTGTCCTCTTAGAGTGCTTAGATGACTGAGGAGGAAGATTGACTGGTTTGCAAGGTTTGATGTGGGTAAAGTTTATTTGCAGGGAGCCGTCGGGGGCTCCGGGGTATGTAGACCTTACTGAATTTTGTAAAAACCGAGTTAAAAGTTGTATGTGATTTTTTTTTTTTTTTCTTTTATCGTTATCAGAGCCATTTTATATATGGGGTTATATTCATATGTATGTGAGGATATGCTTTATATATTCGAATCTGATGATAGCTTTATCCTTGTCATGCGTCTTTTTTTTTTTTTATCGTATAATTGAAGGGGTACATTATCAACTAGGTACGAGAATATATAAGTGTTTTCTGAGGTTTATATATACCCTTCTATTTGTATGGAAGGTCATATATTGAATGTTAATCGGTAACATTAACTCTGTGTGTAGGTGTTTGTGAGAACCAATGTCTTGCATATAGTTCTATTTTTGGATGTAATATATTTTTAGTTTATTTAGTGAAGTCATTTTGCGTTTTATTTGTATGTATAATCCAGTTTCTGTACGAACACCTGTGCACATACACGTATGTGTATATTAATGTGTGTATATATATACATGTATGTATATATGATTATAGGACTTATTCCTACATGTTTTATAATGACTCCTACTGTTTGGAAGTCGGTATGTTTTTTCCATAAACTGGTTTGGTTTATTTCAGTAGAATTTTGTTGTATCAATGTGTTAAAATGTATTTTTGTGTACTGGCATTGTCAGCCACGGTTTTTTGATTTGCTAATTGTCGGCTGGTTGTTTTTTTATGGTTTATGTACGTTTCTTTTAAATCAAATATAAAAAAAATACTTCTGCTTGGCAGTAAGAATATTGGTCAAACCATTTCACTCAGCTGTTGCAATAAACCCAGAATTTCAAAATCATGAACTTAGTCGAGATGACTTTACTAATTTTAAGGATTCTTCCATATTAAGCAACTTAAACCTAGACCAAATGATTATAATTCTGCAACTAGATTATTTACTGTGGAATTATAATTTTCCCTCTTGATGTGATCAGAGGACTGGATAACCAGGGCACACACTACCTAAACAGCAAGTATAATCTTCACATTACCTGACCTATTCTGTTTTTCTTGACTAGTCTCTACTAAAAATCTGACTAAAGTTCTCGGTATTACTATTGAAAAGGCCACCTGGTGGAGAACTTTTCGAATTATCATGATACACTGACCAAATGTATTCACGAGTCTCTACACATGATAATAACGAAAAGATTGAATATCCCTGACTCAGTAACAAGTCCTTCTCTATTTTGCAGAGTCCCAAAATACATGCGAGTTCGGCTGCCTTTCGGTGTATAAACCTGTGTGTGGAACGGACGGAAATGTCTACAGCAACTCTTGTGAGCTTGAACGCAGGGCCTGCAGTAACCCAGGGCTGAACCTAAAAATTGCTCCTGATTCCAATTGTCGTGAGTTTTAAGCTTCGAGTATTTCCCATTCCAATTAATAAAATAAATTTAATTGAATTAATGTAATTTAAATTTAATCTTTATTTAAATTTAATTTATAGAATTAATTTGAAATAAATTAATACAAGCAATTTAAATATAAATTTAATTTAATTGGATGGTACGAGAGGATTAAGATTGGTACGAAGAATACAGCTTTTTTCGAGGAATATACATCTGTTAGTTTACGCAAATATTTACGCCATTGTTCTTCGTGGGCTACGCGCTCGTGTGCGTTAGGGCGAGTATAAGTATAGCATCATTTCTAGTGATCGTTGGATTGTTTAGTGCATCCACTGTGAGCCACATGAGGGTGGCAGAGGGCTCCGACCAGGGCACTCTGCCTCACAGCTACGAGGCCCGTGTGGGCGGCTGTGACGTCAGTCAGCAGCACAGCTGCTAGATCTATCCCCACGACCGCAGTCACCTTGTCAGGCCCAGGAGAGCGGCCTAATCGTTTATTGAAATGCGAGGAAGAGTCTGAGGACGACGTGGGGCAGATGGAAGCCCCCACCAAGAAGGCCAAGGACACTGTAGTGACTGCTGTATCTACCGCCCCACCGCTACTTCAGGCGGCAACATGTACGAAAAAAGAAGATAAGACACTTCCCTACCCGGGGAGCCAATGTCGGGTCACCAAATTGGAAGACACCCGGGCCAGGATCCATAGTCAAATCACCTTGAATAGAATTAAATTTAATTAATATAATTAATTTTAATCATATTTAAGGTATTTATTTAGCATTCAGACATCGCATAACACAAGTTTTCTACCTACCATACAACTCATTTGCATTGCTCCTAAATTATAGTGTTAAGTTACTGAATATATTGTAATATGCTCCAAAACAAAATTCAAATATATTTTGTGCAATACTGAATTTTGAAACTCTAAATTATTTAAGTTTTTATTCTGTAAACAATTCACATTTTCTATGGTTATACGGTATGCATAACAATGACTAGTGTGTGCCTCTTCTGAAGCATTTAAGTCATCAAATGAAAGCTAATATCCAGATTTCTTCAATAAAATAATACATTGGGATATACACAGCTCAGATCTAATTCAGACCTTTGAAGAGACCAGAAAAGCCAATATCCTAAAATACTCTAACACATTAAGCTTGAAGCCGCTTAGAAGTTGCATTACCCCGTTATCAGCATTTAAAAATTAAGGTAATTAGATGTGATACTTGGAAATTATCGCATGAAAGGCATTATTTAATTTTTTTTCCAGTTTCTTTCCAAACAAACTGCGGCCCATAAAGGCCAAGATCAAAACAAAATTTTCTCATGGTAAGAGTGACCAGCTTTTAGGAAATTTAGTACAGTACAGTGAGTAAGCTTTGTGTAAGTTAGTTTTCATTAACATATTTTTTGGTCTTCAGGGCACAAAGATGTTTCCCAACAATGAACTTTAATTAAGGTGGGTCGCCAAGTTGATGCAGAGGCCGATGAGCTTTTTCGGGTATTACCCCCAAAAGATTTAGTTTAGTGTAATTACCCGCTAAATTAAAAATTATTTGTTTAAAAAAAAACTCATAATTTGCCTCTTTTATTAAATCATACATTTTGCAGTTTTATTTATGTTGAGCTTTCATTACTCCTGACACTTTCATCTTTACCCCATCTGGGGTAAGTTAGCCCGGTTCCCCGGTCGAGTACTGAGACTTATTTCTGAACAGTTATTCTCCAGTCGTTTCACAGAAAACAGTTAACAAAATTGGCTCATAACGTCCACAAGCAAATTTCAAGAGATTGTTTCTTTTTAGGAAAACACATCAACAATGATAGTTTAAAGCTGACAAGATATTTCCCAGTTGCTGCTCAAAGTTCAACACAGCTACAGCTGAGCGCCTGGTGTTTAAGGATTGTTGGTAAAGTGGATAGAGGGATGCATAATTTCAGTTCTCACAGGGCTGAGCATGGAAGCGCAGGATAGTCCTGGCCAAGTCGCAGTTCTGTTAAATATATTAGATTCCAAATCGCTTGTTTCGTGATTTCATTAATATATACATTATATATATATATAATATATATATATATATATATATATATATATATATATATATATAAATTTAAAGGTGTGCCGTACAGGTAAAACTGGTCAATTAGCAAGAACTCGTTAAAAAAACTCCTTTCTAAAATTTTGTTATACATTTAAAGATGTATTTTTTTAGTTTGTTAATGTAAATTAAGTTTTGTACGAAAAGAACCTTAGAAAACTTAACCAACCTTACGTTAAAAAGCGCAATTTAATTTAGCCTAATTCACTAAATATATATTTTAGATAAGTTTACAATAATTTAATAATAAACAAGCACCATGAAATATATTTTTTTCTCGTTAGGTTTAGAATTATTTTGCGAACTTATTGCATACACAAATTTTCACTTGCCTTGTTCGGCAAGAAGAGCGTTGCTGTTAAAGCCAAAATCGCAAGTTTTACTTCTGGCATATTCTTTACTTTATTTAAAGAAGTCATTAAAAAAGTTCAATCAATAGGTGTTATTTATCGTGATCCACTTGGTCTGCATTTGATATTTAAGATAGTTCTTTCAGAATTTTTTTCCATTTATAACTGTCCAGTGCAATTATCTCAGAAAATTTTGAAATCTTTCTTGCAAAATTAGTTCTCTAACAAAAAGATTGAATATCTCTGACTCGGTGACAAGTTGCTCTATTCTTCAGAGTCACAAAATTCGTGTGAGATCGGCTGCCTTTCGGTGTATAAACCTGTGTGTGGAACGGACGGAAATATCTATGGCAACTCTTGTGAGCTTAAGCGCAGGGCCTGCAGTAACCCAGGGCTGAACCTGGAAATTGCTCCTGATTCCAATTGTCGTGAGTTTTGAGCTTAGCGTATTTTTCCCCTTTCCAATAAGTAAAACAAATTTAAATTGAATTAATGTAATTTAAATTTAAGTAATCTAGTTAATTTAAATTTAATTTATATAATTTGAAATAAATTACTATAGGCAATTTAAATTTAATAATTACTTTAATTTAAATTATGAGGTATGAATGTAGCATTCAGAAATCACATAATACAACATAGATTTGTACTTACCATATAATTCATTCATATTGCTTCTAAATTATATATTGTTACTGAATATATGCTCTGAAATATAATTCAAATAAGTTTTGTGCAATGCTGAACTTTGAAACGCCAAATCATTTTATTTTTTATTCCGTAAAAGACTCGCATTTTTAATGGTTATACTGAAGCATTTACTAGTCGCCACACGGATAATATCCAAATTTCTTCAATAAAAATGGTACATTGGGACATACACAGCTCAAATCTAATTCAGAACTTTCATAGACCAGAGAAACCAATAACCTAAAATACTCAAACACATCAAGTTTGAAGCCGGTTAGCTGTATTACCCAGTTATCGGTATGTAAGATTGAAGGTAATAAGATGTGATAATCGGAAATTATCGCACGAGAACCAGTATTTTATATTTATCAGTTTCTTCTAAAACAGGCAAACTAGCAATTATAAAGGTAAAAATCAATCCAAAATTTTCTTTCAGTTAGTGACCAGCTTTTATGGAAATTAAGCACAGTACAGTAAGTTTTGTGTAAGCTAGTTTGCAAGATATATATATTTTTGATAATGGTCCTGATGTTGCCCATAAAAAGTTTAAGCTGGTCCACCAAGGTGACACCGAGGTCGGTGAACTTGTTCCGGTGTTACCTCAAAACAAATCTGTGTATAGCACAATTACCTAATAGACCAAAAATTATTTGCTTAAAAAAAATAACTTTCATAATTTGCTTCGTTTATTAATTCATAAACTTTTGTGCAGTTTTATTTTTTATTGATCATTGATTTCCTCCGAAATTTTAATTTTTACCCCATTTGGGGTGAGTTATCCCGATTCCCCGACCTAGGATAACCAAATAGTCAAACACCGACTTCTGATCAGAAAAGTAATTCTCCAGTTATTCTCCAGTCGTTTCACAAACCAGTTGATCCATGAAATTGGCTCATGATAACGTCCACAAGCCATTTTCAAGACTGTTTCCTTTTAGGAAAACATATCAGCAATGAAAGTTTAAGGGTAACTAGAGGATATTTCCCAGTTATTGCTCAGAATGCAACACAGGCTAATTCCATCGTACTTTTTATCTAATTCATACGATGCATCAGCTAATGAAGATCGATGCCATTCACGCTTTTGATATTTTAATCAGATGCTAAATGACCCCTACACTAGAATGGGTCATTTAGCACCTGATAAATATGAGGTGTTCAAATTTGATCCAGGCAAAGAGAAGATAACAAGTTCCTTGGATCAAGAACCTTTCAGCAGCATCTCCGCAAAATAATGCAATGATGAAAAACGATGCGATACCATGTATATATTAAAAGTTGTAAAATAGAATTTACACTTCATTATATAAAACAATCTTTAAATTAGCACTCGCGAGTATTGCAAATTTGAAGCCGATCACTGGAGTCAGTCTGTCTTTCGGTCATCATACACAAAGTTCGAGAATTACCCTTATAAAATTGTGCATAGGACACCCATGGATGCGAATAGACCCATGAATCATGCTCAAGGTATGACGCAAGAGTTGAAAATTTGAAGCCAATCGAATAAGGCGTTCTCGAGTACTAAACGAGAATTCTACAGAAAAAAAAAAATGAAAATGTTGCTGAGATTTTTCTGAATAATAAGAGTCTCCCTTAGTTTAGCCTAAAATCGCAAATTTTATATATTCTCCATTACATTCTGTTTAAAATTCTGTGCAGTCCTGCAAAAAAAAAAATTTGATTTGGATTTTCTAAAAGAAAATCCAGTTTTATAAAATTCACAAATAGCGTATTACCTCCACACAACCCAAAAGAAATTAGTAAATACCTCTCTTCTAAATACTCCAGCATGTAGTAGATTCTCTAGTTTTTACACGAAAAACGGTATATTGTAACCAACATAAACTGCTACTTTAATGCTTATAATCACAACCATGATTTACAAAGTGGTGGACAGGTAAGCCAGCGAAAATCCTTGGTCCAATGACCAAAAGCTCCACCTGTAGGTTACCTTATGACTAACAGCAGCATCAGGAAACGCTTTGTCCTGTTTCCTGACAAACCTAACCTACCCTAATATAATTAATTATATTGACCAATTGTTATTTACACAGCTCAGGGTGAGTGACAAAGTTAGTTCTGATAAAGCAACTACTGGGAAGTGTGTGAAGCTATAAATGATCTGATTCCAAGGACTTTAACTATTTCAGAATTTTTTTTTTTTTCACTTAGACTAAATATATAGATCATCCTCCTCCTTGTAGAATGTATTATCAATAACATTTTGAAGGTAATCAAAATAAACGATCTTTAGTTATTGAAGAAGTGAATATCACTATATACAATAAAACTGGCAGCATGAGCTTGTGTTCAAGGAATTTGAAACCGATTACTTATGTTTTCTCTCTTGCTGCAACAAATTTACCTGCACGTAAAATGTACTTATTCAGAATAGTTACTGTCTTGATACTAAGATGCATTAGTAGTATGGAAATTTAAAGGTAATTAAAATTTAGCACTATTTGACTTATAATTGGTTCGGTCTGCACCTACACACTTGAATTTCACTTAACCGTCGTCAAATTGAAAATTTGAAGCTAAGCCAACGAGAGTTTTGGAAGTTTTCGAAGCCTTTCAAAGATACTGGGAATTGTCAATAGTTAGTCATGGGGTACGTGAATATGCTAATTGTTCCTAGAGTCTGGTCCTCGTTAAAGTACGCAAAAGACAAAATTTTTAGACTGCTTGGATAAGGTGTTCTCAAGTTGTGAGCGATATAAAATAAATTCTTAAGAGTAAATGAAAAAAAAATATCAAACCTTTTAACGGTCCCCATTGTACATTGCAGCTCTAAAGTGACTTTCGTTTATCATTTTTATAAAACTGGACGAGCTAAGCATGGACCACTAGGCCCGCAGCAGCATTCCTCCATTTACGTTCTTGTGTTCATTATATAAAGCTTATTAAATGATTTATTAATGCAGATAATTTACACTAATCATTTTCTTGCAGCTGACTTTCCCTCTCAGGATGACTGGGCACGGTTGTGAATATCAGCGGAAGCCTCATGAGTGCCGCCGTCTATGATGCTCAGTTGACTACTAGGAACCTAATAATTCTTAAGTAAAATTGTTCTAATAAAGCTTGTAGACATATCTCTTAGTTTAATTTTGAATACCGTTCATTGCTGTAATAGTAGAACACTATACCAATAAAATGCTCAAAAGAAAGTTGAAACGTGAAGACGTTTCGATCCGACTTCGACCCTGAACTAGTCGCACAGAAGTGCGAAGAAAAGGGAGCCATATATAATATAATTAATATAATTATATATATATATATATAATATATATAATATATATAATATATATATATATATATATATATATATATATATATATATATAATATACCTCTTCAAGGGGGGCTCCTTGGCGTGGTGAAGAGGCTCTTGGTCTGAGGAATTAGCCCTGTCGGTCTTCTTCCTCAGACCGAACCTAATTACCCCCCATTCTCCCCTCCCCTATCCCATCCTCCCCATCCTCCCCTTTTTCCATTCCTCCTCCTCCTCACCCCTCCCTTTTGCCCTTCCTCTTTTTAGCCTTCGTGATTTCTCCCACAGGCGCGCTAGTTCCTAGGTAGGGGAAAGGACACCGGGGTCCATCCCATTCCGTTGAGGTTTCTTGGCGGTGGCGTAGTTTGCCGTGGAATCTGGATTGCCTAGGGATGTCCCGATCCCTCTCCGGTATCCCGGAGTAGCTTTGGGTGTCTTTTGGGCGACGGGTGTATCTCTGGAAGCCACCTTTCGGATTCCGGGGGTGGTGGCTGAAGGAGGTATGCTTTGTGGCGGATATCCGGCCGCCCTCTCTTTTGTCCACCGAGGTAGCTCGGCAGATGTGAGGTTGCTATCCCAGATTGCTGGTTTACTGGCATGAAGGGTAGGGTATGGCACGGGTTCCATGCTGCATCTGCGCTACTAGCGGTGTCGAGTCCTCTTGGGCGCGGAGGGAGATTTCTGGCCCTTTCATTCCTCCTAGGAACTATCCCTCCCCGGTCCCCCCTTTTTTTTTTCTTTTTTTTATTTTTATTTTCTTTTCTTTCTTTTTTTTTTCTTAAAAACAAAAAGAAAAAGTAACCTAACCATGGCAGCCCTAGTCCATGAACCTGGTACCCCCGGGCCCCTTCTTGATACCGCACCCCGTTCTGACCCCGCCTCGTCTTTGGACCACTCTTCAGACATTCCTCATGCCTCTGTACCTATTGCCGGTGCTGTTTCCTCACCCGCTTCAGGTACTGAGGCCTCGACTGACTCCTTCGATTTATCAGACCTTCGCTCTCCTCTGACTATGCTTCCGGCCTCTCCCTCTACGGTGCGGCAATTTTCAAATCGCCGACCCGTTCCACGTCGGACCAACTCTGGTCCCACGCCTAAACGTCAACGACAATTACCTGCTGATGATACTTCTCCACCTTCACCTTCTCGTTCTTCTCAGAAACGATCGACACTCCTTCACTACCTTTCCACGCTCAGTTTCAGACTGAACAGTGGACTAAATTCTTCACTTTACGACCAACTTCCTCTACTGCCTATCTTTCTGACCATAGTATTGGCAAGGCACTCCTACGCCATGTTGGTAAAGATATTTCTTTTCATGCTCTTAAGAGCGGTACGCGCATCATTACCGTACAGAATGCTACCCAGGCTCGTGAGCTCTCTCGTCTTTCCCATATAGATACTGTTCCTGTCACCCTTGAAAAACATCATTCCCTCAATTCTTGTAGTGGTACCGTTATTCTGCCCCATACCATAGTTCAACAAAATTTCCAGACATGTGGCACCGACATTCTAGAACAGCTGGAACTCCAAGATCTCCCAATCCTCAAGAGAAACACTTACGTCTTCCTGCCCGTGGGCGGAGACGATACCCTAAAATGTGGCTCGTTAACTTTTGACCAGCCGAGAACTCCCATCCTCCGTTTATATAGCAGGACATCGGTTACAAGTTCGAAGGGTGATCCCTACACCACAACAGTGTAGAAATTGCTGGCGATTTGGCCATCCAGCGAAATATTGCAGATCTATCGCCGAATGCCCAGTCTGTGGTGCCGATGACCATTCTAAATACGTCTTGCAATCGATCTCCCTCTTGCCTTAACTGTCATGAGGCTCACCCTTCGTACTCTCGCCGTTTCAGGTCTATTTAAACGAGCGGGAAAATCCGTTACCTCAAAGAGACAGAAGGTCTCCCTTATGCCATGGCAGTTTCTCCATCTCCGCCTCCAAGGGAGACTCCCACGTGTTTCTTATTCCCGTGTTTCAAAACGTCCCCCCCACTTCTGGTATCCCATCTTCTACACCCACCTCTGTGGTTACCTCTCCCATAATTCACTCCTGTATCTCAATCCTTTTGCTGTCCTCGGCTCAGACGTCCCTACTTCAACGCCTCAGTCTAATCTCGCTTCTTCGAGTTCTCTCTTACAAGCCTCAGTATCGACGAGACCTCGTACGACACCTCTTCCCAATCGTCCCTCTACTTCTCAAAAGTCAAAAAAAGGTCCGGTAACACCTCCTACCCATCTTCCACCTCCTCATTTTACCCTCCCTGTCTGTCCCTAGTTCTTCCCCTCTCACTGGCTCAGTTACAAGTGCAGAGGTTCACCCTCCCCTCGTAATGTACCTTCTCCCCTGTTCCCTCCCAAGTTTCTTCCTCTTCTGCCACCTCCCAGGTTCCTGTCTCTTCTGTCCCCTGCCACGCTTCTCCAGTTCCCTCCACCCTTTCGCCCCCCCCCTACCTTGGTACAGTCCAATACAGTTCCAATCTTTACTCATCCTCCCCCTACCATTCCCAATATTGTCTCCCATACGACATCTTTGAATTCCGAAACACTTGAAGCAATCTCTGAATATATTGCAGAGACCAAACCATCAATGGACACTGATCCACCTTCCGCTCTTTCTCTCTCCTCTGCTCCATCTGCGCAACTCCTTTCTTCACAGCGCACCGTTCCTTCGCTGCTTGAACATTTTCCACTGCCTCCGCATGTGGACTTTTCTAACCCTTCTAGTCCGTAGGAACCCTTACCTGCGGATTTCAAGTATCTTTATCATTGCCAATCATGGCCTTTTTACAGTGGAATATACGCGGCCTCAGGGGTAAATCGGGGTGAGCTTCAGATGTTACTCTCCCAGTTTGCCCCTGTTGGTGTTTGCTTACAGGAACCAAATTACACTCTGCTGTTTTTTCTCACATCTCAGGCTATAATTTATTGTATTCTTCAGATCCTTTTCCTGATGGGACCTTTAATGAAAGTGCCCTTCTTCTCCGCACTGATATTCCGTACCATCAGCTATTTATTCATACTTCGCTGCATTACACAGCAGCCCGTATCCACTTACATAGTGGTATACGCTCTGTTCTTTATATCTCTCTCCTTCTCGGGCATTATCTATTCAGGATTTTGCCTTCCTTGTTTCGTCATTACCGCCACCGATTCTGTTACTTGGTGATTTTAATGCCCACCATTTCCTCTGGGGAGGGTCTCACTGTGATTCCCGTGGAATTCAGTTAGAGGGCTTTTCTTGCCACCCACCCCCTCCATGTTTTAAATACAGGTACTCACACCCATTTTGATCCTCGGACTCATACTCTCTCTTGCATAGATCTCTCAGTTTGCTCTTCCTCCGCCGCATTAGACTTTACTTGGTCTGTTCTCCCCGGACTTACATGACAGTGATCATTTCCCAATCATTCTTACTTCCCCTTCATATTCGCCACCTCTCGCACCCCACGCTGGCAATTTAATCGGGCAAATTGGAACCTTTACTCACACCTGACTGTTTTTTAAAGAGGTTCCTTCTTCGTCCTCCATCGATGAGCTTTTACACCTCTTCTCGTCCTCCGTTTTCACCGCAGCTTCTCATTCTATACCCCAAACTTCGGGCAGGCATTCTCAGAAATGCGTGCCTTGGTGGTCTCCTGCTTTGTGCTCGTGCAGTACGTTTGAAACGCGCTGCATGGGGCAGGTACCGGTACAATAGAACCACAGAGCGACTCCTTGATTTAAACAGAAGCGTGCGATCGCTCGCCGTGTCATCCGTGACGCTAAACGCACTTGCTGGCGAGATTATGTCTCCACCACACCTCTGCTTCCTCTATGAGTGCAGTCTTGGAAAAAAGTACGAAAACTGAGTGGTAAATATTCTCCTGACCCGGCTCCTGTTCTGCGGGTTGCCGGTGTTGATATAGCAAACCCACTAGATGTTGCCAATGAAATTGGCAATCATCTGGTCCATATTTCTCAGGGACTCCATCTATGCCCTCATTTCTTTCCTCAAAGTCTGCCAGAGAGTTAGCACCTTTGGACTTTCTTCTCTCAGAGAAGAACAGTATAATGTGCCTTTTACACTTCAAGAACTGGAGGCAACACTCTCAGCTTGTCGATCACGGCAGCTGGGCCCGACGACATTCATATTCGTATGCTACAACATTTACATCAGTCAGCCCTTGCAGTCCTATTACGCCTTTACAATCTTATTTGGTCACAAGGAGTTCTTCCACAGCTGTGGAAATCCGCCATTGTTCTCCCTTTCCGCAAACCAGGCACTACGGGACATGAAACCTCCCACTATCGTCCCATTGCTCTTACCAGTGCAGTTGCAAAGTAATGGAACGTCTAGTAAATAGACGTTTAGTGTGGTATTTAGAGACACACAAACAGTCTCTCCATCGTCCAATATGGCTTTCGTAAGGACGTTCTACCATAGACCCCTTACTGCGCTTGGATACGTATGTTCGTAATGCCTTTGCGGAATAACCACTCAGTTATTGCCATATTTTTTGACCTTGAGAAGGCATATGACACAACTTGGAGGTATAATATTTTAGCCCAAGCCCACTCCTTAGGCCTTCGAGGCAATCTACCATCCTTCCTTAAGAACTTTTTAACTGACAGGCATTTCCGTGTTCGGGTTAATAATGTGCTCTCCCGGACTTTGTCCAAGCTGAAGGTGTCCCCCAGGGATGTGTTCTGAGCACAACACTTTTCTCCTTGCTATTAATGATTTGGCCTCTAGTCTCCATCAAATATTTGGTCATCACTCTATGTTGATGACTTCGCTATTGCCTGTGCAGGCGCTGACTGTCACCTCCTTACAG